AGAACCTGCTTATAAGTGTAGCATAGCAAAGCAAGATTTACCTATTCATTGACTGAAAATCCAAAATACTCTGGACACACACACCCTATAAAAAGTAACACGAAATTAAACTCACCAACCTTTCTTTTCCTTCAGAACACACACTCTTTCTCCAATCAGGTTTCCTTCTGACGCAAGAAACAGCACTTTACCCTGCTGCAGATTAACGGTTGTGGCGGAGACGCGACCGCGGACTGAGCTCCCTTGCACACGCGCAGTGGAAGTGACACGTTATGATACCCTCGGCCTGTCGCACTCGACACGCGCACGACTGAGTCACTAAATGCCATCTAGTTTCCTGAGTTCGTGTTGTGATTTTTTAAAAAGTATTTATGTTTAAAGAAAAAAAGTTAAGAGCATGATTTCTGTAACTTAGCTCTGTTGGAACGCTAATATGAATATCAAAAGAAAAATGCTTGTGCCTTGCAACATAACCAGATAGAAATGTATATATCAAGAGATCCATTCCTTGAGCACTGAGATGCATGCCCTGTAAAAAAAAACACCTATGATACATGCATATTTCTCGCAGATTCCAACCGGCAGTTAACGTTAATGCGAGGTCATTTAAGCGTTTAGGGTGCATCCCAAAGTTTTGAATCCAGGCATTATTTGTCTGGACATCGAGTCTACCTTCTCGTTTTTTGTTATTAGAAATTCCTGGCATTCTAAAATAAGCTGAAAATAATGTCATCCTTTTTCATATTACATTATGAAGCCTGTAAAAATACAATACACTGCGTTGCTTGGTCGAAGTGCAGACCATTCTCCTTTTTCCATTTTATCCCAAACTGATCCGTCAGGGTCCTTGTGAAATTCATCATTCACAGCACAGCATCTGCGTTTCAGAAAGTACAATGTTTCGTTCCATGAAGACCTGCAATTCCAAAGCACCTTCCATATGGGAGGTCCTAAAAATATTAAATAGCCACAGTGGAAAGGCATATATTCCAGTTGTTAAATTGGGGCACTACAACACCATCCATTCAATTGTTACTGAACATTTGTTTGGATTGTCTTCTGTTGGCACTGAGGGATGAATACACAATGAGTGAGTGAAATACTCTTTCCAGATGAAGCTGAACACCCCTTTATATTTCAAGGTGGAAAATGAGGTCGCCGAGAAGCTCCTCTTCAGAGGTACCCTGATTCATCGTTTTGCTGACCTTTACTCCTTTTCATTATAAAGGAAACTTATGCAGGGTGTGATGTATATACACTTCTCATACTATCCCCTCCATGTTAAGGGTGGAGATTATATCTCTCTGTTCCTTCGTGCTGCTCGCACCTGTGATCCCTAGAAGAACTTGATTTCTTGCGACGATTTTTAAGCACACTGAGCTACCCTTGCTATCTTTTCGATGTCACGCTATGCATCGGGCAGTATAACTTCCCCCATGAGTCTTCTTCCAGAGAGGTTCCTTAACTCCCATTCACAGTCTGCCCTACACTAAGGAGGTCAGCTTCATCCTCTCAACTACAGCCTCACCTTTCGCCAGATGAACACTCTCTACCGTAACGTATGTATTTACGCTTTTCCCTGTGTCCCTTGTTGATAAATAGTCTTACCATGTGTGTCTTTCAACTCAAAGACGCTATATCAAGTGGCACACCAACAGCACCATTTTTGCAATCAGTGAACCACAGGTCTTCAGACGGATTGGTCAGCGGCTCGTATTGCTATTCCTTCCACTGATGTCCACGCCCATACACTATTGGAATTCTCTTTGATAAACCAGCGACAAATTTCAACCTCTGTAACAGTTTTTCTCGCTCCCTACATCTTCAGATTGCAGGCGACCCTCCTCACTGGACCTCCTGATTGTCCAATCTAGCCTGTCATGCCTTCCTTTCCATTTACCTGTCCTCACTTACCCATTGTTTTGCTTCTCCTTCACCTTTCTCCATCTTACCTCTTCATATCTGAAGATGAGATTCAGGAGGAATTCGAAACTGATGTCTTATCTTGTGCTCTGCCCGGACTCTTTTAATAAAGAGACTCAACACACTTATTGCTAAATTAAGCATTTCTGCACTTTGATATTTGCCATACTCTGGCCAGGTTATATATGTAATGGGGAATCCCACTGATGATGAAAAAAATGAAAAAAATAATGCCGGGAAAAAATATTTTACTTTGCCAGAAGGATGTACTTCAAGCAATGTAGAATATCTGACATTCTTTGTTATTTAGTATGAAATTTCTAATCGCGAAATCGAGATAAAAATTACTTTATATTCTTACATATTTGATTCATCCAGCATTCTCATTCGAACTTGTTCAGTCAAGAACAAATGACAACGTACTAACAATTATCACCAAGTCGACAACCGTCTCTGGAGAATTGCTGCCCCATGCTCTCTGACACCATGTCACTATAGCATTCTATCTTAGAACATTTTTTGTTAATATAAATGCGTGTGTATGTGATTATTTGTAATTTGTAGTGCTCATATCCTTTCATGTAAATACCATAGAGTACCATGAAATAAAAAGTCAGAAAACGATTCATGGTTTGAGGGGTAACTTGTATATTCCGCATGAGACTAGCTGACAAGAAAAACAATATTATATATCGTACTGTATATTATTCTTAATTTGGACAACAGGATACTGGCCGACAACCAAATCTTATTGCTGTAATCAATACACTGTACCAGTCACGAAAGGATGAATGGCGACTGTCAGTCTCTCATTAATAATTGTACGAAGCTAGCCTCTAGCAAAAACTAGTAAAACAGGAGAAAAAATATAGCACTAATTATGTGTTTCAAGTGCTCTGACCCACCATTTTTCGCAAATATGTTCCAAATGATTAATTACACCTGTATGACACTTTATCACGTAAGTTTCACACCCTGCTCTGATGTTTGGTACTATTGTACTTTACCAAATGTACTTAATTAGTGTTTACGCTTGACTTTGATAGCGTAGCATCATTCAGCCGAGAAGGCATTCAAACATGTGCAGCATCACGCAGATTTATAGGCGTCACGCCTATAAATCCACTACTTCCTCACCTCCAGTCCAGCCCTATATATATATATATATATATATATATATATATATATATATATATATATATATATATATATATATATATATATATATATATATATATATATACACACACACACACACACACACACACACACACACACACACACACACACACACACACACACACACACACACACACACACACACACACACTTCTTCTTCTTCTTCACACACACACACACACACACACACACACACACACACACACACACACACACACACACACACACACACACACACACACACACACACACACACACACACATATATATATATATATATATATATATATATATATATATATATATACATATACACACACATCCACGTGTGTGTGTGTGTGTGTGTGTAGATAATGTAAGAGAGAAGGGGAGAGGGGATGGGGCGGGGAGAGATAAGGGAAGCTGGAGTGAGGAGGAAGGAAGCGAAGAGGGAGGGAGGAGGCCGAATTAGTGGATGTGTGGACGTCATAACTGCATCATGCTTTATATCTTCGAATGCGTTCTTGACTGAAAGACACTACGCAGTCAAAGTCAAGAGTGAAGGATGTAATAAAGTACAATTGTTAATAAAATAGGGCAGGGTGTGAAACAGACTGTGCTAAAGTACCATTGCCAATGAAGATATGTTACTCTCAAGTATGAAGGTCAATACAAAAACTGCAGCCACGAATGGTAAATAATTGTTCATTATTGGAATTTTCTCAGGTGAATCAACTGTGAGAAGTGAAATGGCGCAAAGGCTATTTTTTTTAATTCTGTTGTTCCCAATTATAACTGTACACTTTAAACGCTCCTCTGCAAATGGCACAAGAGAAAACTCACCATTAACCCAGTGATACCTGGATTGCAAAAATACATGCCATGTCCACAGTGTGTGTGCTTTTTGATGTCTTTACACACAGATGGCTCTGCAATTTCAGATTTTAAAAATCATATAAAACTTAAACATGTTTGTAATGACATGACCTTCAAGGGGTCAACAGGAAAGAGACCCCGACCTCCTTAATCCAAGAGTGGATGTCAGTGGCAAGCATGAAATCCAAATTAGACGTGCTAGGTCTTAACCAGGTCTTACAAAGACAGAGGGAGATGCATCGCCTTATATTTCGTAGGAAAGATCAGTGAAATTCTAACACCAAATTCAGGTGGTAGAAGAGGTTAAGGTTGAAATAAGATATCGTCCAAGACATGGAAGAACGTGCTGTTGCAGTGAGATCCTTCTTGAGAAAGGTGCAAGATCAAAGGTTCAGAAATGTTTTTCTAGTGAACTAGAGAGAAGAATCTTAACTCACTGCAGTGTGAAAGTTTTATTGGAAAATTAGATGGCTGGTTAAAAACACTAATGGATAAATCTTCGATCATTTTCAGCAGCAAAGGTGGGTGGGATAATTCAGGTATAAACAAGTAACGAGGCTCTTGTCAGAGTTCACATCAGATAGTAAAGTATATACATGTATGTATATAAAAGGATAGCATGTATACATACACTGTTAGGCATCTAGCTATATAAAGGGATTGTAAGCCAGAACTCTAGAAGGGTTTATTATAGTTTTTAAGAGTTAGAAGTGTTTTTATGTATAATGTTATTAATAGCTAGGAATTAAAAAGTGGATGAACGGATAAATCATCGATCATTTAGCAGCGGCTAAGGCGGTTGGGATTGTAAACCAGAACTCTAAAAGGGTTTCTTACAATTTTCAAAAAGTTAGAAAAATAAGTTTTTTCATGTATATTGTCTGTTTGGTTCTTGTTTTTTTTAATACCGAGATATTAAATGGAAAATTTATTTTTCCCATGACTTTTCAGAGATGTATAATCATACAAGAAACATTTTTGTCATTGAACAAAATTCAGATAACTTTCCTTGAGCATGATAGGTATTACGCAAAAGTACGTCATAGTCTAAGTCTTTATTCCTTATTTTCTGTCGATTCGGTTACATGGCAGTAGGTATGAATCCAATCACACGAATTCGAATACAAACAGAATCATCTCAGAGACCGGATTCAAATCGTGCGTTCGTGTGGCTGCAGCTGGACTAGGCGTTCGCTTATTTCCCACAGTTTCTTGCCGATTCCCTCATCCTGGGAGAGTGGCGATGGCTTGGATTCCTTTAAAAAATATAAGAACGGACATTAATTATTTTTGCAATGCTTATTCAATGAAGACATTGGCCTATCATATTAGACACATAAATAACGGAAAGGGATCGAACAGGTTGGCGATTTACTGACTTTGCAATCCTCGAAGTATTTCCCTGAGACGTTCTTGAGACCCTCGGAAGCAGCTACTAAAATACTCGTCTGGGCGCCTTCGGATTTCGTCTGTTGACACACAATGATGGTTTTTAGTGATAATAATCAGTATTCAATTACTGCAACGAAAGTATATAAAATGTTGGCACTCTGTACCGAGATAATTCTGCATCAACAAATTTTGAGATAAGTGTGTAAATGATAACAGACAAAAAAAACTGACAGCGTTGTTCATAATTGCAAAAATAACAAATAAATGAACAAATAAATCAATATTTAGCTCCGACTGAGGTATTAATTTCATGCGCTCTACTGCCTGTAGATCGGTCCGCGCAGCCACTCAACCACTCACCTTGGCGTATGCCCACACATAGAGGCGGATGAAGATGCCATACCAGACGTGGGAAATCATAGGGTCGAAGATGTCTGTGTTAACTACTCCGGGGTGGAGGCAATTGGTCGTCACTCCTGTGCCAACATCGAGAAAAAACGAAATATAAAAGTTTGACTTTGTGTGTTAGATAGAAACACATTCACAATATTTTTTCTCAACACAGTTAAATTTTAAAGCCGTCCACTATTCTTTACTTAAGTCCCCCTGATGTCAAATACCTCCTAGAATATGACTGGTAAACCAGCTTCAACCCGTCGATCGTTTCATCGTCTCTTTTGCGAAAAAAATACAATAGCTCACCTGTTCCTTTTAGCTTCCTATTAAGTTCCATGGTGAAAATAACATTCATAAGTTTGGTGACGACGTAGATCTCGAGCGTGCGCAAAGGACGCGAGAACTCGAACTTCAGGTCTCCTTCCAGATCAAGTTCGGAGGCTTTCTTGACCCAGTGATGGCCCGTGGAGGCGACGTTGACGACCCGGCCCCCTGCCTTAATGAGACCAGCTGCAAGGATAAGAAACAGGCGATCAGTGCATTGGAATTTTGTTGGCGGAAGCTACAGCAAACCGTGAGAAAACCTGACAACAAAGCCTGATGAGCACGTATATCTACAGAAAACAGAATTATAATATATGATTTTTTTTTTAAAGCAGACTTGATACGTTCAGGAACCGACACTGTGGACTTCGTCGAAAAAGACTTACGCATCAGGAGATGTGTCAGTAGGAAAGGCCCCAGGTGGTTTGTAGCAACTGTCAATTCGAGACCCTCATCAGTCAGCTGCTGAGGCAGATCAGCAACTGCAGCGTTGTTAATCAGCACATCGATCTGTTGATGATTTCGAAAAAGTAGAAAAATATCGAGAAAAAGGGAAAACGACTTGGTCAAAAAATGTTATTTCAAACATTTACCTGTATATATTGGTAGGTATGTAGCAGTTACCTCTGACCACAGATTGAAAGATATTACATGACGATGAAAAAACTAATAGAATAAATATAGCCAAACCTTGCGACCCTGGAAGGCTGCGGCGAACTTCCTGACGGAGGCCATGCAGGAGACGTCAAGGTACGCCAATTCGACAGTTCCGCCGTTCACGTTGCCTTTCAACCCCTTCAGGATATCATCTGTAAGAACAAGATAAAAATGCCGACTTTCTCTCTTCAGTTATCTAGTATATGCTTTTGATGACATTTTCTTAATCAATTATTGTTCGATTTTTTACATTCGCTAATTTTCTTTATTGACGTACCTCTAGCGACGTTTCCTCTGACCATGCTCCTGCAGGCGATGACGACGGTAGCGCCTCGAGTCACCAGTTCTCGAGCCGTTTCTAGTCCGATGCCTATGAGGACAAAGTAAAGAATGTGATATCCGATGCACATAAAACATTTTTTGTTATTTGTACTATCTTTATAAAATATATATGCTCTCTATATGATCACAAACTCATTAGAGTTGATAACAAAATGTTTTATGTTTTCGCAGCTTGTATTTTTTATCAATAAGTTTTAAAGGCATCAACATAGACTGTGACTTTAAGCAACACAAGCACATAAAAATACGTGTCCTATGATAATGCTCATCATCCCCACAACGAAACCTCAAAAAAATAATCACAAATAAATAAATAAATAAAAACATCAATAAAGACAAAGAACCTAGAATCTCACCTTTGTTGGCGCCAGTGATGATGACCGTCTTGCCGAGCATTTTTGACGCGTCTCGGCACCAAGGGTACCTTATACGATTAACGACCCACAGCAGGACTCCGATCACCGCCCACGACACGAAACTCCAGGGAGGAACCACCAGTAACGTCACAGGCCAGAAGACGCTCTCCGAGAGATAGTCAATCGCAACCTGCATTGTTTTTCACACTATCTTCTCTGCTTCGGTTCTGTTATAGGAGGAAAGATTAACGTTTATTTTTTTATATATACATCATCACCGTTGTGCGATTTCGTTTTCAACAGATTTCCCTTTTTTATATTAATAATACTTCTCTTTCTTCGCGTATCTTTCACTACTCAAACGCAAGTGAACTGTTACTTCATCCACTCCAAGGAAACCCCACGAAGACGACGAGAAGGGGTTTGCGTTGCGTGGATACCGGTCGGCCACTAGACTCAGAACTCCTCGACGGGCGAAGAAACCGTGACTCTGGAGGCATGATAATCGCTTCATCTTCACTGTAGGCACGGATGATGATGACCAGTTCTCGTTTTTTGGGTCTTCGTTAGGGGATTTTGGCGTTAAGTGATATGTATGTGGAAAGCAGGGGAAAGTAGGGAGAGGGAAGGGCAGGTCGCCTGTCCTACCACAGTAAACAAGCGTCATTACCAATGAGCCGTAATTTTGTATACCAATATGTTAACATCCAAGTAAGTAGATTGATTTTGTTTGCATTCATATTATTTACAACATTAACATATGAATGTATTCTTTAACTGCTTTCCGATTTTTTTTCCTGTATCGAGTTACTTCCTAGCATCTCTCTGAAATGTATATAACTGCTTTACCGCTCTTTTCTTTTTTTCTATTTTCTAAAATGTCCTAACTATTTTACCGTCGTGCAAAAGTCGTAACATGCAGTTTAAGTTCTGAAAGTGTTGCTTACTTAACATGTGTGAATACTGGAATATCGTAGTTGTAGAGATTGCCATGTCATGTTTAGCGTAATGGAAGTAAAACGAGTTGTACATGTTCTTAGTGTAATAATTGTCAGTATGATTTGCGATCTCACATACAGGATATGCTCACCATGTCGGAATTTTATCATTTCTATGAACTTGCACATAAAAAAATAGATCTCTGCATTCCGTATGATTGCTCGTTATGTTTGTCAGTCTGTCTTTGTTTCCGTTTAAACCCCCCTCCCTCTCTCTCTCTTTCTACCTATCTATCTTTCGTCTTCTCTCTCTCTCTATCTATATATCTTTCCTCTTTTCTCTCTCTATCTATTTATCTTTCCTCTTCTCTCTCTCTCTCTCTCTCTCTCTCTCTCTCTCTCTCTCTCTCTCTCTCTCTCTCTCTCTCTCTCTCTCTCTCTCTCTCTCTCTCCTTTACCTCTTCCTTCCCCTCCCCTTACCTATTTTCCTTGCGCTTCTCTCCCTCTCTCTCTCTCTCTCTCTCTCTCTCTCTCTCTCTCTCTCTCTCTCTCTCTCTCTCTCTCTCTCTCTCTCTCTCTCTCTCTCCTTTACCTCTTCCTTCCCCTCCCCTTCCCTCTTTTCTTTTCGCCTCTCTCTCTCTCTCTCTCTCTCTCTCTCTCTCTCTCTCTCTCTCTCTCTCTCTCTCTCTCTCTCTCTCTCTCTCTCTCTCTCTCTTACCTCTTCCTCCCCCCCCCCTCTTTTCCTTTTGCAGCTCTCTCTCTCTCCATCTATTTCTCTCTCTCTCTCTCTCTCTCTCTCTCTCTCTCTCTCTCTCTCTCTCTCTCTCTCTCTCTCTCTCTCTCTCTCTCTCTCTCTCTCTTTCTCTCTCTCTCTCCTTTACCTCTTCCTTCCACACCCCTCCCTTTTTTCCTTTCACTACTCTCTCTCTCTCTCTCTCTCTCTCTCTAGGATTGAGAATAGACCTCCGTTCCTTTTGATATGTAAACGTGGCATGGAGTTACATGTATTTTTTCCGTATTTTTCTTTTCCAACAGCTATATGTGACAGGAAAAATGGTGTCCCTTTGCCTGATTACCTAGACATGTGGGATACCTTACATAGAAATCGACTGACCATTAAAATTGACTTAGAAAAAAAAAACCTAAAATTATTCAACGACAGACGTTGTAGCCATCTCTAGGGAAATGCATGGTCAGTCCTGCAGACTCACTGTCCTTTGAAATGAAAATGTATCTGTTAGAAAAATTCCCACAACCAAATCAAGAAATTCATGAGTCCTATTTAGAGTTAATAGGGTTGGGGCTATAGAGAAGAATAAGGAACGTCAGTAAGCTTACTGCAATGACTGTGTTATTAGTAGTAAATAATGTGAATGTAACCAAATCAAATTTGTTTACACGGATGGTAACATATTTGTGTGTAAAATAACGGCTTATTGGTAATGAAACTTGTCTTACATCAAATGAATAATTGGTGTTATTTGCTATCTTTTGGGCTTAGTATGCTAACAAGCAGATGGAATACTAGTAAACTAAATGACACTAAATGACTTATTGCCCAGTCGCAGATGCAGTCTTTACTGGAACTGTTTTTTCCATCTATTTCTGGTGCATCACTATTCAAAGTTTTGCATATAT